CAGTAAGTGCATTAACCCAAACCAAAGATTTGATTAGCTCACAACCGTTGGCAAATTCAATGATCATTTCATCAAAATGCAATGAAAAGCCACGTATGTCCTTGAGTAATTATTAAACAGCTGGGATTTCGCTCAAATCTGTAGACCACACGCTTCAGTGCTCACTTTTGAAGTGCATTGAGAACACATTTTTGACAGCTAGAAATTTATAAAGAATAATTTAATATTTTAGAATGTAATTTTAAGGCTTCCTCCCCATGTGAAAACCCCAAGCAAAAAACAACTTCATTTAAAGGCAAAAGCCATTGCTGACTAGCTTGTTTCTGTACACTCTGACAAACATTAAAGGGCACCTATGGTGAAAAATCTACTTTTCAAGCTATTTGGACAAACATATGTGTATATATGGTGTATAGACCATCATATTGGGGTGATACAAACACACCCAGTCCTTTTTTTCAATTTAACAACATAAAAACGGTGGACCAATTAGAGCTGTTTTCAGGCCGACCGCAACTTTACATAGGAGTGCGGTCCCCCCGCCCACCAAATTGATTGACAGCTGCGCGCATTAACTTGTTCCGGTAGTCACGTGTATATGTCAACAAGACCAGGCAGACATACGCAAAGCAACCGGGAATAAAAGGTCTGTTCTGTTTGCTAGGATCAGCAATCAGCAATCGCGTGCGCGTGAACTTGGTAACGATATTGTGTGTGACTCAATGCAACTTCACAATACTGATTAGTAAAGATTAGTTCTTACTGTACAGGGATCCATGCTATAGATTTTTTCTACTGGTCCGATCGGGCAAGTGGTTCAGATTTTTACTTGCCCTGCCAAAATTTTCACTGGCCCCACCAAAAAAAAAAAAAGAAAAGGAAGTTAATAGCTATTTTTTTGCCACATTTTAAATAAGGTGTCAAAAATAAAGTCTTTGAATCTAGAATTTTAATATTTAAAATAAATTGTAAATAAAAGTGTTATGCAAACAAAAAGAGCACTACAGAAACTGTTAAAAAAAGGTGGCTGACTTGTCAAACTGGCCGCAAACTGTGCAAAATATCACTTCATTTTTATTTTGTTCTGTTAGTCACACGTAAATGACTACTTCCAAGACGTTAGAAACAGACATTTTCTTTTAGCCTTATAATTTGATGTTGCCTCCATGTTGCCGTTTCTTCGCTGTACTGGTTTTTACCAGGTTACAGAAAAAAAATATCATGGTCAATCAAATAAGAGGAACTGGAAAGCAATATGGTGTTTACGACATAACAGAGAAGGTAGTGTTTAAAAACTTAAAAGCACAAACTCAATTGACAAATAGTCACAGACAAATTAAATGTTAGTGACAAGGCAGCACTGTCCCAATCGGGCCAGTAATGATCCGGTCTACTGTCCCAAGTGTCTCTCAAGCTGGCCCTGGGCCACTGGGCAGTCCTTATTGTTGAGCCTTGCTGTAGTATTTCTCACAAACGCTACGTGAGACCTTCTTCCTTTAAGTCTGTCTGTTGTCTGACGCAGCCGAGGGAGGAGATTAAAGCACGCGGGAAGGCACATAGAAAAAGTAGGCGGGAGATCTCGTCTTAAAGGCGCAGTACGACAAAACCACCCAGTGCTGGAAATCAGTTTAAAACAGCATCTTGTAAAAGGTATAATGAAAAATCTGATTAGTGTTTTGAGCTGAAACTTTATATACACATTCTAGAGACGCAAAAGACTTATATTAAATCTGAAAAAAAAGGGTAACCTAGGTGCCCTTTAAAACTGCTGTTTCAAGCAAATGTCATGTTGTTTTGTTCTTTTAGCCGTAGTGAACAAGCTTAAGAGATGTTAAATCTTTGTCACTTGGCAAAATTAATCAATGAGATTCAGCTCTGAGCACCAAAACCATCATGCAAACTTTAAAGGAGACCTATTATGTTCCTTTTTACAAAATGTAAAATAAGTTTTTGATGTCTCTAGAGCAGGGATGTCAAACTCAATCCCTGGAGGGCCGAAGCCCTGCACAGTTTAGTTCCAACCCTGCTCCAACACACTTACCTGTAGGTTTCAAACAAGCCTGAAGGACTCAATTAGTTTGATCAGGTGTGTTTAATTAGGGTTGGAACTAAACTGTGCAGGGCTGCGGCCCTTTTGGAACGGAGTTTGACACCTGTGCTCTAGAGCAAGGGTGCACAATCTCGATCTTGGAGTGCTGGTGTCCTGCATAGTTTAGCTCCAACTTGCTTCAACACACCTACCTGGAAAATGAGGTAGAGATCATTACTAATGGCGTGGCTTTTCTACTCTGATGACACGTACAAAGGGAGAATGTCAATCAAAGTGTTTCTGCAGACCGTTTTAATCGAGTGCGATTATTAGCCGGCAGCTATCTCTCTGCAACTCTCACATGGTCTCCTACTGAAGCCAAGCAGGGCTGTGCCCGGTCAGCACCTGGATGAGAAACCAGAAAGCTAGGTTGCTGCCAGAAGTGGTGTTAGGGAGGCCAGCAGGGGGCGCTCAATCTGCGGTCTGTGTGGGTCCTAATGCCCCAGTATAGTGACGGGGACTCTATACTGCTCAGTGACCGTAGTCTTTTGGATGAGATGTTAAACTGAGGTCCCGACTCTGTGGTTGTTAAAAATCCCAGGATGCTCTTCGAACAAGAGTAGGGGTTTAACCCCGGCATCCTGGCCAAATCTGCCCACTGGCCTCTGTCCATTATGGCCTCCTAACCCTCCCCATATCATAATTGGCTTCATCACTCAGTCTCCTCTCCACTAATCGGCTGGTGTGTGGTGTGTGCCGTCGCGTCATCCACGTGGATGCTGCACACTGATAGTGGATGAGGAGATTCCCCCCAGTGCCCAAAAAAGCGCTATGTAAATGTAAGCAATTATTATTATTACTATTATTATTAAATATTTTTTAAAAATGTATTAATTTTTACCATTAGAAGCTGGTTATATTCATGAACCATTACCACACAACTGTGTTTAATACCCTTATAAAAGTTATTTTTGCATAATAGGTTCCCTTTATGACTTTAGTATCTAAAAGCAATATGTAGCCATAAAAAATGCTCTTTATATGAAGCGGACTTACATATTCACAGGATAAATATACATCAATAATGCAAAATCGTACGTTAATCTACTTAGCAAAGCAGTCAAAAGCAGCTTAAGTTGCACATTTTACTGAAGAATTCAAGTGCTTTATCAAAAACACATTATACATTTCTGTAATAGATGCTGCATTTGTCCTGTGAAGTGATAAAAAGGGAAGGCGGATTAAATGGAGAAAGTGCATAAATCATGTGCACAGTAGACAGTGAAGGCCCTATGTAGGTCTCTAATATGCAAATACATTATGCTGAGCAGATTTAATACAAACAGCACCATTTTGTCTGAAATTAATATTTCATGGCCCTTCAGGCAAACATGGATCTGTAGCATGCACATAGTAAAAACCACATTAAGAAACTGCACTTGATGAACTACAGGGTAGAATTTTCATGTTACAGTAAGTAAACTGGTTATGAGCATCTTGGGATTCGATTATAAACATCAACATGATGAAAAGTAAAACATGCATTGCTTTTTGCATGGTAAAATATGTTCCACAGAAGTGAAAACAGCATGCATGCATTTAAACATATGCTTGATAACATGTGCTTTTGTGCTGATGTGTTGGCTGGTTTTGGCTATTCACTGTTCAGTATGATACTAAACCGAGCAGTTGTTGGCAGCAGATTCCAGTTATAATGATTAATTAAATATTTTATTCAAACAATTGGTACTAAGCAGTTGATTCATTTGGAAACTAAATAATTGACTCTATAGTTAGAGATGCACCAATTTACGTAAATTGTTTAAAAACATCTGATAATCATGGCAGATTATATCCCATCAATAAGAGGAAAACACATTTAATTTTCTTTGAATTGAGTGAAAATAATATCTGAACTGTTAAACATTCCTAAGTTTAAACTTTTGCCAAGACTAATAACACAACTAATCCGATTAATATGAATAACATTCAAAACATTAATAAATATCGTAAAGTTTAAATAATGTATAATTAATATCTTTAATATTAAAAATGTATATATTTGTTTAAGTTTTTGTGCCGATGCTCATAAATAAATCTGCATAAATTCACAAATATTTTATTATTATTATTTATTTATTTAATTTCACAAAGTTCTGCACACAAATAAATTAACTCCAGGTCCAATGACAAACTCCCTGGTAACAATTTGGGTAGGCAAACTTCAGTTTATGGTAGCTCGAAACAAATTCAAGTGGATCAAATAGCAAATAAATTATTTAATAAATATTATTATTATCATTATTATTAGTGCATGTAATGCATTATATGCATATATATATATATATATATTAATATATTGACATTTTACTTATACATTTAATAATGTATTATTTAACTTTTTAAAATTTGTTTCTGAAAAAAAAATCATGTGAAAACCAGGTAGGCATACCTTTGTTTTTGTTTTTTCTTATCTACTTGGTACTGAAGTACTGGTTCTTTTGACAACAGTTAGTGAGACTGTAATTTCAAACACATATTCATAGTGGCTCATTGATGCATGAAAATGACAACAAAAAAAAAAACAGACATTTGTGTGATAATGCAAAAAAATCTATAGTTTTACTACTATTAAGATAGCCTGACAGGCAGGGAAGATAAACTTTGGTAGCCTGACTGCAAAACATAACAGCCCTGTGACATCAGACTAGCACTTCTGAAAGCCCTGAAGTGAGTAGATTCTGTCTGGCCCTTCTCAAAAGTGTCTCCCTAGTTCACATTTTACTATACACGTTTATAAGCTTAGGTCTGTTACCAGAAATACAAACCAGAAATATAAACTTAATAGCAAACACAAATCAATAATATTAAATCAGAAGCACTGCAGCTCAAAAATGCAAGCTATATGCATTAAAAGTTGTCCCCCTCACATCAGAGCATGTGTGTGGCAGACTGTCTCATCTAAACTCACCATATGAGTTCAATCCAGTCTCGTGAGGAGGCTTGCTGAGGCATCATGGGAAACTGCAGAGCGACAGGGTCGTGGGGTGGACAGACGGGCATCGCTGAGGCCTCTTCCAGCCTCATTAAATCCCCAGATGGCTGAAGGACCGATGCCATGATGAACCAGAGCTCGCAATATTTTTTCTCGGGGATTCAAATGACAAGCTCTTTAAGAGCAGATCATCAGTTCTGGGAGAACAATCCAGTCATCAGTCTGTGATGAAAAGAAAATGTGATAATCAGAAAACTGAATCATTTTATAAAATCCAACATAGATCACATGTATATGAACAAACACAGTTTTAGGACAGGGCTGTACAATAATGAGAAAAGTCTGTAATACTTGTTTTTCTGCTATATATTGTGATAGTGAAATAAACTGCGCTTTATGGTTTCTGGCGTCAAAAAGTATTCAGGTGCACAAATTGAACAATGAAATGAAAAATAACACTGTATAGTCTTCATATTTAATAATAAGTAAGGGTGTCACGATCCTTCAAATCCTCGATTCGATTACATTTTCGATTCTAAAGGCACGATTCGATTCGATTATGAATAATTAATTAATTAATGACCATTTGTAGCCTACCGTTTAAACTACCTGACCTGCATGGTCTTTGTTTTACCCATAAACAAATCATACAGTACATGAATAAAGGCAAGATACACACATAATTACCACCTGTCAATAACTTTTTCTGCGGGACTTGTGAATAGGCAGTGATCTGTGTCGTTATAATGGCGTCGGTAAAAAAGACGCACAACCAACAGGAACCAGCCAACAGTATCTGAGGTGTTCGCTAAAATGACCAAGTACAAGTGAGAGAAAGATTGAAGCAGTCTACTGATCCTCTGACTGGACCTGCTGTCTTGAGCACATGGCTGTGCGTGCGTCTGTCTCTGTGTGGTCACGTGATGTGCATTTTCAGAGGTAGAGAGGAAGGAGGGCTGCTCAGAAATGCTACACGCCACTGTGGATGTCAAATCGTTGTCGCAATGCCGGTGTTATCTATCGGACGAACCGTACGTAATACGTACATAGCAGAGCTTCCAAAACGGTGTTTTTTTTTTGTCGACAACACGAACGTTGTCAACATAACTCACTGGAAATCCAAAATGCTTACACACAGGCGACTTCATTGAAAGAGGAGAGGGTTTAAGCTCTGTCGACGGGTCTCCTGCTTCTGCAGTTTAACAAGCACTTCAACAACAAGCCAAGCTGACGTGACATGGGGGCGTGGCAGCATCGACGATTCTATTTTTTGATTCGATAATCAAAATTGAGCATAAATTTCGATCGATTTCGATTAAAAATCGAAATTGTGACCACCTAATAATAAGTAATATTTTCTTTATTAAAGTTATACAAATGTTGTATATGTTTGTGCCCAAATGCTTAAAGTTCTCTTGAAATGCCTTTAGAGCACATGGAAATGATAAAGATTCACTGTTATGGTTACACTTTGCAATGACTCCATGTATTCTCAATTGGTGTGTTGATAATTGCTGGTGTGCTAGAATCCCTCAACATTGCATATGCTGCCATGTGAACGCTACTGCAGACTAGGCATGGGGCGATAACTGTTTTCAAGGTGGTTTGGAAAAGTCACGGTTTTAAAAATTCCAATTGGTATGATTTTTAAAATTTGTTTATAAATTAATTAATTAATTTTTTTTAGGACAACAATATCTCCAGCAAAAAAGTTTTCATTTTAAATTGTTAAAAAATTCAGTTTTTAAAACAAATGAAGACAGCAGAAGTCAATAATTCATTTAGCCTGGCACGTTTACTGCTCCAAAATATTTAAAATGTTTCTCAAAATAAAATATACTGTGTTCAAAAGTAAAAAAAAATAGTTTTTTTACCCAGACATTTAAAAATATCTATATTTTAGAGCAGTAATCACAATACAGTGAGACTGTGAAACCATGATATTTTTATCCAAGGTTATCATCTTACCATCAGAATGCAAATTTAACCAAGTAAACTATTTTTTATGTATTTCTTTTGTTTCAACTTGTTAAACTGAACCTTCTTTTAGAAAAGATATTAAACAGGCCTGTCTCTGGAAAATAAAACTATTTAAAAACTTCTTAAAAATATTATTGAAATGACAGACAAAATTAAGGAACAATTTAAGTAAAGGTGCAAAAAAAAAAAAAAAGCTTTCTATTCAATTGAATTTAACAGTAAGAGCTTAAGGCTTTGCTTGGTCACTTGCGTTTTTTGTGTGTGCAAAAAAAATCCACATTTCCAGGTAATCAGCAGTTCTATAAGATAATCCTGAACTGATGTGTATCTGTCTGAGAGGTTTTTATGGATGGCTGTCTTCATGTTGGGCATGATGAGTGATAGGGTGGACGTCTTTTCATTACACAGGACAGTCGTGACTCTTTTCAGCAGTTTAGGCAGGTTTACTATTTCTTTGGCGTCGCTGATGTCGGCGCTATCAAGTGTATCATGTTGACGTGCATTTTTGTGTACCTCTGTACTCAAAAGGGTTAATGCTCGACGTAATCATAACTCTAAAATGCGATATGATTGTTTAAATAATGTGTACGTTTTCGGTTTAATTTCCACTGCTAAGTGCTGTTCACACACGCGGCTCCTGAAAGATCACTCTGTTCCACAAACTGAATGTTGTTTACTACTTTATTAGTCACAACCTGCAGGTTCTGTTCACTGAAGCAGACGCGCGCGTATGGCAAGCCGTTTTAACATTTAAACCTTTGTTCTGAATATCCATAAATATATTCAATTCATATTTAATTAAATTCATTTAGAGATATCTCTAATTATATTTTGACTAGTTGAATTATAATTATGACTAGTCAAAATATAATTAGAGATATCTCTAAATATATTTATGGATAGTCAGATCAAAGGTTTAAATGCTAAAACGGCTTGCCATACGCGCGCGTCTATCATAGTCCGCCCTCTGTAGTAACAGCTCACGTCATCTGTGATTTTGCGGCCGCCAATACATTATTATATGCAGACAGAATGATATTATTTGGTGAATTGTACCTTATGAATACAGTATGTGACTCTTTCAACACCATTAGGAGGTATCCATGTCGCTGTGCAAAGTATGTAAATCACTGTGAAGACTTTAAAACTTAGGATGTTTGACCCAGTATGCGTGTCAAAAAGCGGACGAGTCTAAAGCAATGACTGTACAACCGAAATGTTGCCAGACGTCTGATTTTGAGAGGATGGGCCATCCTCTATTTCAACTCCACTCATCTTGGTCTGCTAACATTACTGCTGCTGCAATCTGAACTCACGTGCGACAGCAGGTGGAACGTAGCTCACGTGCAAACAGCTCAACTAATAAGAGAAAACGGACGTCATATCGTAATCAAATCGTCATAACGCCACGATGCATATCGAGACATTTTTGCATCGCAATAAGCATACAACGATAAATCGTTACACCCCTAACAGTAACAGATCAATTTAGACCAGTCCAGTTTTGACTGGAATGCATCCCAGACCACCTCCAGAAGAGGTCTGAGTGATCAAATATACATCATTCACATCTGACCATTTGATAGCCAAAAAAAAAAAAAAAAAAAAAGTTCCCAGGTGTTAAACCGGCACAATTAATCATATTTAAATGTAAATTGCGATTCAAGCTGCGCTCACACTGCACTTTTCTTCCCATAGACTTACATTCATATGCACGCGAACGCGTCAAACTGGAAACGCAAGGTCGTGCGGCAAGTTTCCCAGTCCGCTGCACTGGTAAGTTCAAGCTTGGTGAACTCTGACCTGCTAAATCTCATCATGTGATTGTGTGAGACCAATCAAAAGTCAAAACATGACGTCTCTGGATAGGAATTTAAAACATTGACCAATCACTCGCTTTTTTTTAATGTCATCTTTTTTAATTCTGCCCCTTTTCACAGTGCCGCACTACAGAATTTCGCAAGCACAAACTCTAGTGCACAGGTGTAAAACTCAGTTCCAAATGGGCTGCAGCTCTGCACAGTTTAGTTCCAACCCTAATTAAACACACCTGATCAAACTAATTGAGTCCTTCAGGCTTGTTTGAAACCTACAGGTAAGTGTGTTGGAGCAGGGTTGAAACTAAACTGTGCAGGGCTTCGGCCCTCCAGGAATTGAGCTTGACACCCCTGCTCTAGTGTGACCGCAGCTTTAAAAGGGTGCGATAATCAAATTGCAAAAGCTTCGATAATTGCGTTATTAAATATGGCAACAAAAATAGTTTTTAAAGTTCTGAAAGTTTGTAAGCACATTATCCTGAACAATGTGAAAAATTAAAAAATATATAAGTAAAGGTTTTATATCCTTATATACAGTATATTAGATTTTAAATCCAATTCTTTTAATTGAATTTCAAATACTGTAGTTATTTTCTTAATTTATCAAGACAACTGACAACTTTGTTGGAAAAAATGGCAGCAATAAACAGCATTTAAGAGGTTTTAAATAAACAGTAGCATAGTGTATGTAGACGTTTTGTGATTATGCTTGGCCTTTCTTTGGTGCTGTTAAAACCACCACATAAAACCCGTAGCTCTAAACAATATGGTAGTAAAACACAAATTTGATCTGATTAATCACGTTTTTCCCCCTCCAAATCGTGCAGCTCTACCAGGTGTAAACAGCCCCAATATTTTGCAGCACTACCCTCCAGATGATTGAATCCAGGTGTTCAATCATTTCCATGGCCATATGCGTATATGATCAAGCACCTAGGCATGTAGACGTTTCAACAACATTTGTAAAAGAATGGCTCAGGCTCAGGAGCTCAGTGAATTTGAAAATGGTATTATAATAGTTTGCCACCTGTGCAAAAGCAGGCACATATGCAAAATTTCCTCACTACTAAATATTCCACGCTCAACTGTTAGCATTATTATAACAAAGTAGAAGCACTTGGGAACAATACCAACTCAGCCTTTAAGTTGTAGGCCATGTAAAATACACAGAGTAAGCCGCACACACTTTTGGCGCATGCTGAAACAGAAAGTGCAAGTCGCCAACTTTCTGCAAGGTCAATAATAATAGACGGTTCCAACTCTTTCATGAACAGCACACATTCAAGGACATTTTTAAAGCACTATTAATTTTAAATCAAGCACCTTTGTAATTCACAACTCGTATGCAGAGCCATGAAAGTCTTTACTGTACTTAACCATTTCACTTCCACTTAATAATATTTACATTAAA